CTCTCTCTCTCTCTCTCTCTCTCTCTCTCTCTCTCTCGTTCTCTCTCTCTCACACACACACACTTCGGCAGGGGGATTGCACATTGGCTCGCCGAAGGGCGACTTCGTCGTCGGTCGGGACAGTATTTGAGTCTGTCCCTCTTGATCTATCAACACTGCAAGAGTCCTTTCACTGCTACTTTGTGGCGGGCAATGCTGAGCTGTACTATACGGCGCAAACAAACCTCATCACAATTATAACCAAAAGTTTCTTCTTTAGGAGATGCTGGTTGATTGTGACGATTTTGTTTTCGCAAAGCAATTCAAACCTTCTGTAGCGCCTCTCTCTCTCTCTCTCTCTCTCTCTCTCTCTCTCTCTCTCTCTCTCTCTCTCTCTCTCTCTCTCTCGCTCTCTCATTTGTGTGGAAAAGATTGCCGAGGTCAACTTCTGAGACCAGTACTAGCAACTATATGAACCACAAAGACAGCTAATTATAAATAAATATTGGTAAACTCATAAAATATCAGCAAATATTTTCCGAAGATTCTCCGAGACTGGTCATTTTCAGGGTCGAACGCGCGAACACACTTACCTACCCCCCTCATTCCCTCCCCACACACACACATACACACGACTAGAAAACACAAACTGTGACCAGAAAACGCAACAGGCAAGGCTACATGGCATAGCCGTTGTGTTGGGAGAGACTGAGAAACACAGAATAACACCAACAGTTGATTTAAGTAAAAATTTAAATGACCCTTTTCCACGCCTTTAGGCGTATAAGGCATATAGGGCTAGATCTATGTTTCTATAGACCAATCGGCACAAGACGGGTAATAGGTTCGCATCACGCCGTCCGCCTTTATACTTCCAGGGACTGCACCCGGTACCCACTCAAGGCTGGGTCGACCTGGGAGCCAAGATCGTTTTTGAACAAAGTCCGGCTCCGCCAGGAAGCGAACCCACGACCTTCCAATCCGCGGCGAGCGTCGAGCCGCTCGGCAACGACGCTCTCAATGTTGATCTATTCGACTTTAAACCTTCTTCTGTTTCTTCTTTGTTCACCAGCTGTAGGCTCCGCCGGAAAGTGTTGGTTTATTCGTCTAACTAGACCTTGGCTTTGTGTCAAGGCCTGCGTTTTGTGTGTACGTCTGATCGGGCAAATGCACTCTGACTTCGAAGGAATCCTCCATTTCGTCGACACTTACGTCATGCTTGCAGTGTAGAAAGTTGGTCTATTCTTGTTTTCTCAAAGGATGGTGTCTTCACACCATAAACATTACCATTCACTCATTTTGCTAATATTCCAGTAGCACACATCCAGGCCACTGTAGTAACCTGTATATTTATGTAAAAGGTAAGGGTTAAAGTGTGAACGGCCAGGCCTTCATAAATACTAGGACACCATATATGAGGTGGGATGTAGTGTTTACATCCTGGTCATATTTTTTCCCTCCAGAAAATTAATAGAAAGTATAGGAAATTACATGACATGCTTTTGTGAGGCTGAGGTGATCCCAGTGAATTGTCGGTGGGGCTCACCCTTCGAGCTCTCACCCTTCGAGCTCTCACCCTCAGCAGAAAAGCTCTTCAACTCTTCTTGTTGCTATGAGTTACGAAATTTGAGGCATCAATATACCAATCAACTGATAAATGCACCAATAGTACTGGGTTGTGTGCTGTCAAAGCCGACATGGACAGCCCTAGAAATATTCAAACAAAAAATTAAGACATGTGCGATGAGATGCATGAGAACTACACGAGAGATGAGATGTATAAGAACTACACGAGAAATGAGATGTATTACAACTAAACGGGAGATGAGATGTATAAGAACTACACTAGAGATGAGATGTATAAGAACTACACGAGAGATGAGATGTATAAGAACTACAGGAGAGATGAGATGTATAAGAACTACACGAGAGATGGGATGTATAAGAACTACACGAGAGATGAGATGTATAAGAACTACACGAGAGATGAGATGTGTGAGAAATAGTGTGGGAAAGACAAGAAGAGACAGACGTCACTAACGAAGAACTATTAACAAATGGAAGGCAGAGTACCGGTAAATGATTTCAAAGAACATCAAAGATTCAAATGGTTTGGTCATCTGGGCAGAATGGACTAAAATCAGGCACCAAGTAGAGAGTACTACATGAAAACAGGAGGCTATAGGTTGGGAGATAAAAGTGATACTAAAAAGTTAGTTGCGTATTCTTTACAGAACATTGCAGAACCAATCCCAGCATTTTTTTTTTCGGACTGTCGTAGATTGTATAGGCAAAATTACGTCCAGTTTGTCATTGCTTTCTCAGCGGTCGACTTCTCGATAGCACTTTCGAAATAACGCAAGGCGCAAGGCCTGCAGATGCGATGGGACCCAGCACCTCAGCATTACGAAGCTTGTTCGCAACACCTAAGCCACAGAAAAAGTTATAATACAGAAACAAAATGTGATATTAACACAAGTTACGCTACTAGTAAAATACTAGGAACTATATCTAACTAGTCTCTACAGTGCTGTACGACATAATCTGTAGATAAAAGATCGTTTATTACCGTTTATTTGGGCAGCTGGTGCCAAGTTTTCTCTGATCGCATCCGGTTGGCCGTTAATGTTAACGAATTCTAATTCACACTGATAGGCGCCGTACAAACAATCGATGTCTTTAGAGAACCAGACGTTCAAGATCCCGTTGTACTTTGAGATGGTCCCTGTGGCATTGATGACGTTGACATTGGATGGGTCCACGGCTACTACTATCGGGGCAAACACTGAGATGGAGGCCAGTTTCACGGAGTCGCCTTTCTCTGTAGTATCATATATGGCGATGTTGATGATGGACTGGGAACTGTTGGCCACACACTGAATACGTCCACAGTAGAAGTCGTCGGGAGTTAGCTGCCTTGTGAAGTCCAGAACTGTGGAGTGGATTCATTCGATCAGTATCAGTAAAACAGAAAATTGAACACAATGGATGTAGTAGTAACAGCTGAATCAGTAGTAGCAGATACTGTTTTCATAGTAGTAGTAGCAATAATTGTAAAAGTATTAGTAACAATACTGCATTATTGTTAGTATGATGTCTCAAACAGCGCATGGCTATCTAATTGCCCGTTCCTTATTAGTTGACGGGAAAGCCTTTACGTCTAAAACCTATATACGACTCAGGTGCAAAAGAACTGCCAATTGATTGGTTGAACTATAAGGTATTCTTGTATGCAGTTTGAACAATTTCACTCTTTTTATTACAAAGATGTTTACACAAATTATGACAAAATTAGATTTTTTAGTATCTATGCGGTTTTTTTTTTTAGTAGCATAGTAGTTGCGTAGTAATAGTAATAGTGGTGATGATATTATCAGCAGCTGTAGTTGTTGCTGTAGTAGTAGTAGTAGTAGTAGTAGTAGTAGTAGTAGTAGTAGTAGTAGTAGTAGTAGTAGTAGTAGCAGCAGCAACAGCAGCAGCAGCAACAGTAGCAGCAGCAACAACAGCAGCAGCACTTGTAGTAGCAGAAGCAGTAGCAGCAGTAGTAGTAGTAGTAGATTCAACGCCACCGACACCAAGAAAACATTGCCAATACTGACCTCCCCCCTCCACAATCGTTGCCTTACCAAATTCCTGGGCTGAAAAAATGTGGGGGGGGGGGGGAGTAAGGATAAGGGGGGGGGGGAAGGGAATTTGTGCTCCCAAGGAGCTTGATCCAAATTAAATAGTATTATAGCAGTAAGTAAGTGAGGGAAGGACCTTTTTCGCACATAGGGCCAGACCTATATTTTATAGACGAGTCAGCACTCAGTGGGTAGTGTGGTCAGCAGCATCACGCCGGCCGCATTTACCTCCCAGGACTTTACCTGGTATGCACTTAAGGCTGGGTCGACCCAGGTTATGTTTTGAGCAAAACTCGGCTCCATCAGGATCTGAACCCACGGCCTTCCGGTCATCAGGTGAGCGTTTAGCCGCTACACACATCGGCTTCCGGTACAATAGTGACTAATTATAATAGTAATAACATTGTGCTGAAGGGCAAAAACAAAAGAAATAAAGTACAAGGGGTGTTCAAACAGACACCTTAAAAGTATGATGTGCGTAAGCATATAATCTACTTAATGTGCTGAATGGCAAGTAATTTCAAGTGCACAATCTATTTTTTTAAAAAAAGAAGTTCGACAAATAATTCATGACAATTGTCGCCCACGTGATGTGATAATCTGTACAGAATGGCTCTGTGGTGAGAGGCAGATGAAGCTCATGGTTTGTTTTAGCGAACGGACGTCGCTAAGCGCAATAAAGCCTGGTCTACGACACTACAACATCTGGTTTGAGAATGAATGCGGAGGCCGCCACTGCAGCCGTTCACTGACTTGAGAATCAGCTGTACACACATGTAGTAATTGTAACCGACTCACATTGCATGTTGAGAAAGGTGGAGACTGGTATGCTCCGTAAAGAGTGGCGAGTGTTGCTCCCTAGGTCCCGGGTAGTTTGCGTCAAATTTAGATATTTTCCCCAGGATATACCGGAGTATCAGGAAATGAACAGGCAGATACACTGGCTTCCCTGTGTGGGTTCCGGGGTCCCATTATGGGGAAAACAAGAATAGACCCACTGCCTCCCCAAAAGCCTGTCGTAAGAGTCGACCAATTGGGAGCTTCCTTTGAAGTCGGAGTGCATCTGCCTGAGAGGCAAGGAACCAACAGTCTGCATTCAAGTGAATCAGATCTGTAAAACTGATCCACATGCAACACTCAGGTTCTGGAGCAGGACTGCAGTCCAGAAGTGGACGAACAACCAGAACTTTCCGCCAGAGTGTACAGCTGGTGAACACGAAGAAGAAGAAGAAGAAGAAGATACACTGGCTGGTTCTGCACTACGGGGTAGTGAACTGACGCATGACAAGCTGGATGTTGTAAAGACCTTCTGTGGGCGACTAAGCAGTGCAGAAGCAGAGATGAATCATCGTGGTCTGAGAGAATGACGCTGCGAAGAGGGACCAGAGGATCTAGAAG